TCTTATATATATATATATATAATTGAAAGTAACAATAAGGGTTATAAATTCAATGAATAAGTGTGAATAATTATATTTTGTGAAATCTCTTTAATCAACTACTTTTTTCAACAGATCAGTTTGAATCTAAAATATTAGTTAAGATTTTTCATCATGATTCCATTCGTGACCAACATAATATTGGTAAATTTTTCTTTGATTTGGAAATATACCCAAGTTTATGTAAATATAGCATTTTTTTTTTCAAATCATCATGATAAAAAAAATACATTGCTAACATTAAATATTTAACTTTTAAATAAAAAAAATCCACTTATAATTATTTAACCGGCCATTAATTAAGAGTAAGGATTAATAAAACTGATATAACATACTCATTTTAAAGTTTATAATAAAAATAATATCAAACATTAATATTATAATTATTAAATTTAAGAATGAATACTTTAAAATACAAAATTACATATATGTGACAAAAAATAGTAATTTAGAAATATTATTTTTTTTCAATAGTAACATGACCTTTTTTTTTTGTCAATAGAATAAGACATTTTTGTGGCCAACAAAAACAGAAATAAGACTAAAATCAAATCAAATAAGACATTACTCATGTTGGATTGAGCAGTTGGATAGGCCAGAGAAGTGGGTTACTGTTTAAAGCCCAAAAACGTGTTCAAAAAAATAATGGTCCTCATAAACGAAACCCCTAAAAACCCTAACGTCGAAGATGTCTCTGCAAATGCCGAATCCTAACGCTGAAGTGCTGAACAAATCCGCATCACTTCACATGAACATCAATGCCGCCAAGGGTTTGCACGATGTCCTCAAAACCAACCTCGGTCGCAAGGGAACCATCAAAATGTATTTCTCTCTCTCATTACCTTTTCCATTCTTTATTTTCTATTATGTTTTCGCTCACTCTCTTTGAATCAGGCTCGTTGGTGGCGTTGGTGATATAAAGCTTACCAAAGATGGAAACACTCTTGAAAGAGATGGTTAGTTCTTGCCTTTTTTTATCACTATTTTAGGCTTATTAGTTGAGATCTACGAGTGTGAGCACGTGAAAATCGTTATGGTGAAAATCGTTATTAGCGATCGATTTGAAATAATCAAATAGCGACTGATTTAACGATCAAAATAAGTTATCACTAGAAAATCGGTCGTTGCTTGATTGTGTTTCATGAATACAAAGGTTGCGATGGAACTAGCGACTAACTAGCTATTAAATTGTAAAAAACGTTGCGACCAAATTAAATTCAGTTGCCAAATAAGGAATTTTGATTTTTTTAGCAACGAAATTGAATTTGATCACTAAATATTAGTTAAAATTAGTGACGGAAATGAATTCGGTCACTAAATATTAGTTAAAATTAGCGACGGAAATGAATTTGGTCCCTAAATATTTGTTAAAATTAGCGACAGAATTAAATTTGGTCGTTAAATATTAGTTAAAATTAGCGACGAAATTCTATTTGGTCGCTAAATAATATTTAAAATTAGCGATGAAATTGAATTCGATCGCTAAATATTAGTTAAAATTAACGACGAAACTATATTCGGTCGCTAAATAAAAATTAAAAAAAATATATTGCTTAAAAGTGATAATAGTATTGTTGTTGAGTATCAATCCCATTTTCTATTTTTGTAAGAGCAAAACATTAACTTATAATAAAAAAAATATTTATATGCACTCCTACATAATTGATGCCAATAGTTATTTATGTGAAAAAATATTTAGACTTTTTTTTACAATTGAATTTTTAGGCATTTTCTTAATTAGAGTATATGAATTTTTAAAATTTCTTATTTATTTTGATTCATATTTATAATATATATTTCTAACTTATAATAACTTTAGTTTTAAATAAATTTTTATATTTAATTTTTATTGATAGAAGAGATGTGATATCTCGAGGAAAAAAAGAATTATAACATCCTCTCTCTTTCTAATAGAAAAAGTACAGATATATTTTCTTAATTATTAGTATTTCTTTATTGTTGTGTGATAAAATTGATTATTTTAAATTATTTAACTAGAATCTTATTAATAATTTACTATATAATTTTGATATTTTTGTATAACTAATATCTGGTTTTAAACTTGATATGAAAATATTACGATGTAACTAGATAAGATTTTAAATTAATATTTTATTAATGGTTGATAATTAGAAAATAAAATAAGGATAAATACATTTTTTGAATTTTATATCTTAGATTTAAGATGAATAAAAATATTAAGTTAATTAATAATTTATTTAAAATGTTAAAATTTAATTTATAAAAATAATATTTTAAAAAAGAAGTGTTATAATAACACAGGTGTAACTTTTACTAAGTATTACATCGCTCAATAACTTTATATTAAATGTGAATTTTATAAATTCAACCGTTAGATTGAAAGTTTTTTACTCTTAGATCATATATACAAAATTTTATATGAATTCAAGATGATTTGATACTTCATT